AGTGTTACTGAGCATCTTGCAGAAGCAGCCGCAGTTCTTCTGGAGACTTTGACTGTCGACTCGCTTCTTATTTCTGCAGCGAAACCCAGCAGCCTTCATTCTGTTTTTATCTGAAAAGTGTCTCTTATGGAATCTGCTGCTTTCTTTACTGACACACAAACATTTTTCTGTAACGTTTCATTCTGTGCTGGAAAACTAACGTTTGGAATCTAAAAAGTTTTTGTACTGAATCAATAATGTAGAAGTCAGAAAATAAACATATATAACAAAGTTTGTACTAAAAAAAAAACAATAGGGTGCCAAGACTTTTGTACAGTTCTGTATTTATATTTATATTTATATTTACAGGGCAGCATAACACTCTCAGAGGGAAGTGCTCTCTTTTCTACATACAGGAGTTCGCAGATACCCATGTCTGGTTACTGTTATGACATTTTCAGACTTCCACCAATCACTCTTTTACTATGAGGTGTTTCAAGTTTTCTGTATCTATAGCCAACAGCTGGAAAGGGATTATTTTGCCAAACTTATTTAAATAGCTGAGATGCTAAGGGTATCCCTCACACAGCCGCTAGAATCTTTATACAGTCCATAATGCTGTCTTAAGACTGATCATACTGATCATACTGATGACTCCGAATCTCAAAATGAAGAAACATGGATGGTTATTTAGCAAATTGTCTTTCTTTGAATTAATATTCTGATTTTTGTGCCTGACATTTTCAATTTCGCCACTGAATGCATTCATGAAGTCATCGCTACTACAGCCATGGCAGTGACATAAATTTTCCGTTTTGCAAAGTTTGCTGTTTCAGTATTTGTAGAATTTTTTTTTTCATGTTTCTATGGTATACTGGAAAGCAATGATAAGCATTTCATAAGTTTTAAAGGCTTTTATTGACAAACACATTCAATATATGCAAAGAGTCAATATTTACAGTGTTGACCCTTCTTCATAACCTCTGTGATTCACTCTGGCAATATCAGCTTCTGGGCCAAATCCTCACTGATGGCAATCCATTCTTGCCTTATTGGTGCTCGGAGTTGATGACCCGAAGAAGAAGCCCGGAGTTTGTGGGCTTCTGCTTGTCCACTCACCTTTTGAGGATTGACCACAGGTTATCTATGATATTAAGATCTGGGGAGTTGCCTGGCCATGGATCCAAAATGTTCTGATCTCTGAGCCACTTCATTATCACTCTTGCCTTGTGACATGGTGCTCCATTATGCTGGAAAATGCACACATCACGAAATTGATCCTGGATCGTTGGAAGAAGTTGCTCTTTATTCATGAGAGTATTGTGGGGGCAGTCGTGGCCTAATGGTTAGAGCGTCAGACTTGTAACCTGAAGGTAAACTGGAAGGTCTTGAGTTCGAGTCTCAGGTCAGCAGGACTTGTAGGTGGGGGGAGTGAATGACCAGTGCTTTCCTCCACCCTCAAGACACATTTTAAATGAGATGAAGTAATGATCTGAGATAACTTCAGACTGAAGAAATGTGACTATATTTAATCCGAATGTTAGTATTAAATCAAGAGTGTGACCACCACTATGAGTGGGGCCTACATTCTGATTAACCCCTACCGAATCTAGAATGGACACAACTGCTGTTCTCAGAGGGTCTTCTGGATTATCAAAATGAATATTAAAGTCTCCACCAATTAATGCTTGGTCTTAAGAAACAACCAGGTTAGAGATGAAATCTGAAACTTCACAAACGTATTCAGAATAAGGCCCTTGGGGTCTGTAAATAATAATTAGTGGATTCGCCTTGGTAGACTTATTTTTTTGTGGCTACATATTTTCTGTTAAGAAAAAAAAAAAATTCAAACGCGTTTAATTTATGACTAGGTTTTTGTGTGATGTCTAGATTATTATTATAGATGACTGCGACGCCTCCTCCTCTGCCAGTTAGATGAAGCTGATGTATGTAACTGTACCCGGGAGGATTAGCTTAATTTAATGCTACATACTCATTTGGTTTAATCCACATTTCTGTTAAACACAGTACATCAAACTCCTGCTCAGTAATATTTTCATTAACAGTAAGCACTTTAGATGTAAGAGATCTAATATTCAACAGTCCTAGCTTCAGATCAACGGTGCTGGCTGTGCATTCGATATGATTTAATTTTATGTTGATTAGGCTACTAAAACAAACTTTGAGTATTTCTACATTTTTGTTTAGCTCAGGGAGCAGACACAGTCTCAATATAATGGAATCTGAGTGACGACTCAGTGCAGCTAGCAGACGGTCGGTTTAGCCAGCTTGTCTGCTCCCTGGCCTTGGCTCTGGATTGTCACCGATTAACTAATCCTGTTCTGAGACTATGAGCTATGCTACAAGAAATGAGAGCAGCACTTTCAGGAGTGGGATGGATACAGTCCTGTCCTAACAGGCCAGCCTTGCCCTCAAAACTACTCCAAAAATCTATAAAGCCGAGTTTGTTTTCAGAGCACCACCTTGACATCCAGCAGTTCAGCGATCATAACCTGCTGTAAGCTACATCGCCATGCCGCATTGGGATGGGGCCAGAGCATATTTGAGTTGGGGGATTGCTAACTCCACCTAAGGCATCCAGACTTTCCTCTACAGAAACTACGCTGCTCTCACTCTCAGCCCTCTCTAGAGTCTGGATGTGCACCTCTAATGCTGCAATCTTCTCCATCAGAAAGCTAGCTAATATACACCTAGCACAAATAAAGCTATTACTAATGATGGTGGAAGAATGACTGAACATCCTGCACTCAACACACTGAACAAGCTGAATGTTTGCCATGTTGTGTGTTTAATGTACCTTAGACAAAGCTTTGTGGAGATTATTTTAGACAGATCTGATGTGGATGGCCTCCACTTGTCTTTAGACAAAAAAAAAAAATCTTTCTTCGAGAAAATGAAATGCTTCAGAAAGGGAAAGTGAAAAATACAAAAATAGACAATTAATAAAATGAATAAAAAATTATTGATGGAAAAAAGGAAAACAGTAAACACAGACACAGGCGAGAAACTCCCAGCAAAGATTTGAAAACAGGAAATACGTCTAAACAGGAAATACGTCTAAACAGGAACTGCGTCACAGGCCACTAACACCGCCACCAATCAGGCATTGTGTTAGACGGAAAGCGCCAGAACCCTGATGCACACTGAGAATGTTGAGGACGATGAAAGGTTCCATGTTCATCCTGCTTGTTCGAACCTCAAATCAACTTCCCAATCAACTATCTATGAAACATTCACTTGAGGATAAATAGCATATAAATGAACTCTAGGTAGGTGTTAGGGGTGGCGTGAGATACTCAGTAATTTCAGATCCGCAGTGCAAATTCTCTCCGAAACCTGTACAGCACAGCTGTTTGACCTTCACCGTCATGAGGAAGTGAAAGTAAAAGCTACCGGCAGTCATTCATTGTTTTACAGGAAATTGTTAACGCCGATTGAGAGCAGAACCTCCTAAACTCATGAACTTTATCTAAATCACAAGAAATGTTCTTCCAGCTCCAAGGTAAGCTCAGCTTTGAATTCTTATCTATGTTTATGTAAATCGGTGGACTGTGCTTTCAGTAGTTTAATGTTCTACTAGACACCGCTCTGTGGTAAAAACACCGAGGGAGAATCGCTGACCCTTTAATCATACTGGATGGAACTTTTATCTAAGAGCGGATATTTCATTTCAGAGACAGGATGACTTTTTCAGAGGGAGGATTAATAGTTAAGGTTATAAACATCCACGTAATGGAATTATTCTGTACATGGACAAATACGCAGACAAGTGTCCATATGTGAACTGAAAGATGTATTTGTGGCCTCTTCACTTTTTTGTGTACTAAATAAAATCAGCAGAAATGATACAATGAGCAGGATTTTAGCTCATAGCATTGGATTTTGTTCCCAGCAGGCACTGAGTTCTTTTGAGTGTTTTTCCCCTCCATTTTACTTAGTTTGGTTTTGCATTTACACACTAAAAGTCCCTCTGATATTCATTTCTGATTGACAATTTGCCAGATGAATGTGTGTCTGTTTTAGAGGATTAAGAACAAACATCCTTATTTCACCAATCTTTAGTTAAAATGACAGATTTAGTGAATAAATAATTACAAATATATATTCTGCACAATGTTGCACTGCAGTTTTAATCAATTTTACTGTGTTTTAACCTAATTTATGTTTATTTCATGAAACGAACAAGGTTTAGTTGATTTAAAGATGAAATAACGAATAAATGAGTTCATTTTAGCTTAATTTTAAAGTATTTCCCAAGTTAAACAAAGCTTCAGGGAGAAAAGCATTTGTTAAATCAGCTTTACACTCAGTGATCTCACTCGTGCTCATCACATCACGTTAGTGCCACTGAGACCAAAGTCAGTCCACAACGAAGTTCTCTCTGTGTGTGAAATTTCATAAGCGCTGCTATGACAATCGTCTTAAATCCACCAATAGGAGGACGGCAAACACAGGGCACAGCTACAAAGGTGATAGTTAAAGCCTAAACATGGTTAATGTATAGAAATGTAGGATTTTAAATAAGTGTGATTTGTTGTTTTATCAGGACATTAAATTGTCACTATTACACTGAGCACTAGTTTGTGTTTGAGAGCCTGTTTTCTGCACGGGCTAATTTGCTTATCATTATGGCTGATGTAAGCAGAATGCAGTGATAATCTTTAATCACAGGTCTATTTTTAGAGGATCTTCATCGTATAATCTGACATGGAGAACACACAATATCACACAGTGTGTTACAGAATCCAGAACAGAGTTTATTGGGATCTCGTCCAGTGTGATGAGTAATAATCTTAAAAGAGCGCTGAAATCACCGGATGTAGATGAACATGCTCTTAAATGTCATTTTCACTAATCATGACTCATAAGTGTAGTAAAAGTGTAATATCACTACACCTATGTGTGAAATCAGTCAGCTGTAATGTCACTTTTGTTTATAACCTGCATTTGTTTGTTTCAGAAAATCTGCAGACACTCAGCAAGAGTCTTACAGGCATCATGACCCTCCTTTATATTTACATCTTATGGGTCGCTGCCTGTGTGGGTGAGTGATCAGGGTCCATAAGACTAACAAGACATAAGTGTCCTATCATTGACTAAAATATACTACAAATAAAATAAAATGCTACAGATCATGTAGATTGTAATGTTTCCCCTCACAGACTCCATCAGTGCAGATTCTCTCATTACTCTATCAGCTCGAGTGGGTTCCACAGCCGTCCTGCCATGTAACCTGAGTAATGTGTTCACCGAAACACCACATGTTCGATGGCGCACCGATGTTGGGTTTGTGTTTGAGCGAAGCAGTGATGGTACGGATATAGGCCCAGGATATGAAGAACGTGTGGACGTTCCTGAAGACGAGCTGCGTAAAGGAAACTGTTCCCTGGTGTTGAAGAACGTCAGAATCACTGATGACGGTGCCTATAAATCCTTTGTGGTGGAACACGTGGACAAAACTAACAGAGCCAAAACGCAAGAAATCAGCAGGGTTGAACTCTCAGTTGATGGTAAGTAAATTATGCAATGTAAAATATAGACTAATTATAGAAGTCATAGCATATCAGATAACAGAGCTGTAAATAATTAACAATAGCAACAGGTATTGCAGGGATACATGAATACATTGTTTAGAATTAACAGAAGAAGTGTTAGAAAAATATCCACATAGATATAAATAAGATGCAAACTATTTCATTTTTTAGAAAATTTATCAGAAAGATTCAGAGGGCATGTGGCTGAGATTAGCCAATGATGCAAAGACTGAGAGAACACCATGAAGATGTTTTATTAGGTGTTTAGGAAGATGCTGTAGTTCCTCCTCTTGATGTTTTCACAGAAGATAGTTTACAGTCTGCTTTGCTTTGATCATTGTGAAATACTTTCAGATTTCTATCATGTCATCTATTCATTCTGGCAACAATTACACTAGCTTTACTTCACATAGTATCACATGGTATCAGATGCTGGTATCAGAGCATCATTTTTTTACCAGTAGAGGTAAGAGAACACCAGTAAGAGAAGTAAGAGAACACCAGTGTATCTCTGCTAATGATAGTGCTAAATAACATAATTTTAATATCATTTAACACAGCAGATGAAATATCTAAAACCTAAAACATCTAAAATTCTAATTAGTCAACCCACAACATTATACTACTACATCTGTGTCTTTTTGCATGAAAGTCAAGAATCTGAAAAATTCATAGGGTTATATCTGCCTCCTTTCTATCTTATGGTACAGCAGCTGTTAGTTTCTATAAAATAAATAAAAACATAATGTTCCTAACATAAGATCATTTCCTAAAAGGTTTTTCTGCGTCTCTGCAGTCTTTCAGATCGTATCAGCTCACGTGGGTTCCACAGTTCTCCTGCCGTGTGAATGGAGCAA